CAACTAAATTCATTTAATTAAATTTAATCGATTAAGCTTCTCCAATTAAATTCGTATGAATGAATTCGTCAGATTAAATTTGTCCAACTCAGTTCATCTCCATAAGTTCAACTGATTCTATTTACCCGACTAGATTCATCCGATTATGCTTCAACGTTCCAAACTCTGAATTCGACAATTAATCATCCCGATAATAAAGTCAATGAATATGGTCTTGAACGGATAAGCAGAGAAATTCCGCTAAGTGGCAGAACGAACTGTCTTCCGTATTGAAAATTCAAATTACATCTCGACTACTTTAACTTGGTAAACTGAATCAGCTCGACTAACAGTCATAATTAAAACAAACAAATGTTCATTATAAATTCCACATGAACCGAAATTCCACTGTTTCTTTAAAATCGACCGTTGACCAACAGAAAGCAGGAAAGCGTGTGTCTGTCAAAATAAATTCCTCAAAGCAAATTCTCGCACTGATTTAACCCGACCCCACTTAGATTGCAACACGCTCAGCTATGTATGGTTTAGGAAGCAAACAACGTCTCTGAAATCCAACTGACGACTGAATCTCGGCTCTTGAATACAATGTGTTGTGTCACGAGAAATCTAACGTCACAAACTGCCGTAAAATTCAACCCATCCTCAAATAAGTCACGGGACTCGGAGATGGAAACCCTAATCGCTCGAGGGATTCCTGAGGACGACTCAGCTTCATAAATTGTCAGTGGGCTGCAAATTAATGACCATTTTTCCCTTCATAAGCTAAAGAGCGCACAATATGATTTTTCCTGCAAAATCAACAGACTGAGCAAACTGGTTAATGGTTAGTTTAGAATGCAATGAAAAATAAGATGAAATGCAAAATGAACCGACTAATCTAAGGGTAAAATTTGGGGTATTACACCCTTTTAATTGCATAAATGTCTACTTGTAGACACCGAGTAGAAGAAGCACCAACAAACCCCCTTACAATCTAAGCACTTCTTTTTCCATATCTATGAACTCATGCAGGTTATTCCCTTGGTTGCCCTTCAATCCATACATGGTGGTTTGTTTTTTTTATCCTTCAAGTTAACATAAAAATATGCATTATTTCCATCACCTAGTTTAATCCAATCAATCTTGGATTTTGCATTAATATCTTCTCCTCAAGCTCTGTGTTTTTTTTAGTATTCCTTCAATCCAATGCTTCACATTTTGGATATACTCCTGATTAAACAGATCCTTGCTAACAACTTTTAGGTTTGTTCCAGCTTGCTTCTACTTTCTCGTATGTTTTTCACCCTTGTAATTACCTGTTTGTTCTGTGTGCCCAATCTTGGTGGAAGCCTCATGAGTTTCCTCCAAAGCTTGTACATGGTCTACATGTTTCCTCTCGCCTCTATCTTTCTCTAACAAGGTTCATTTTTGGGTTCTCAATTACACAGTTCAGTAACTTGCATCTAGGCTTTTTCCTTTGCCCCTCATTAATGGTTTGTACTAGTTTAACCTTCAAAGGAGAATGGTCTGATATGTGAGGGTTGATAATTTCCAAATCACTGTCAGGGTATTTTAAGTGCCACTCTGCATTGCAAATTACTCTGTCAATTCTAGAGTATATCATTCCATTAGTGTGCTTATTTTACCAAGTGAAATAACTACCCTTAGTCTCATGATCATACAACCCAGTCTCCTTCACATCCTTTCCAAATCTATAAATTCAGCCATCTAAATCTTAGTTCCTTCTATTCTATCAGTGACCTTTAAGATATTATTAAAGTCTCATATAATCATCCAAAGCCCTTTTATGATTTCACCTTTATGTCATCCCATAGAGTTTTTCTCTTGACAAGCTGATTGTGTGCATATAGCACAAACAGGTGATGAGAAAATGTTCCATATGTCTTATAAATCTCAATATGTATAATCTGCTAAGACGTGCAGATTGGTTTCACAATCCAATGGCTAGGTTTCCACACCAGCTGTTTCCTACCACTCTCATGGTTATTGTAGTTGTCAATATAGCTCCAATTTGTACCTAGTTTCTTCTTAATATGCTCAACATTCTTTATTTTGACCCTAGTTCCTAGTAAAGCAATAAAAATTACCTGTAATTTTCTGAGGTGGGCTTCAACCTCAATACTTCTTGCTTTTTTATTGAGTCCTCTCACATTTTAGCTTAGTATCATGGGACTTTGTTGTCAAACCCTTCAGAGCATTCTCCAACTCTGAGAGCCTCGAACCATTTGTGCAATCAATTCTCTGGTATTTAAACATGGGTTCTTTTCCTATATTTTTTGCTTATAACCTCACTTGTGTCCAGCCTTAGACTTCATCTTCCCCTTCTTTTGTCTTCTCGTTTTCATTTTCCTTGTTATTGATGCTTCTTCCTGTTCTGTTGTGGTTGTATTCATGTTTTTTTATCTTTTTTGGCCTTCCATGTTTGCTTCTTTTCTTGTACTCTTTTTTATGGTTCCTCATTCTTTTGCTTGCATGCCCAACTTTGTTACATGTGTTACAAAGCGGTGGTATCCACTCATAATCCATATGTTGTATCAATTTGGCTCCTTGTGGATCTTTAATTGTGATCTGATTTTTCAGCTCTATGGTAAGATCTACCTCAATCAAAACTCGAGCATATGACACTCTTAATTTTCCTGTTATGCATTCATTTGTCATCAAAGGTTTTTCAATTGCACTTTCTATTTTGCCTATGCTCTTGTCCCCCCAATATCAACGAAAGTTGAGGAAAGATAACCCATATTGGCGAACTTGTAGCACATCATCCTTCAAAGTGAAGTTAGGTCTCCATTCATGTAATAACATTGGTTTCTTGTATATAATGTATGACCCCCTCAGAAGAACTGCATCCCTATATTATTTCGACCTAAATCGAATGAGGAAGTACCATTCTTCATTATAATATAATTCTGGTAATGTGACAAGATTCCATGAATTAATCATGAATTTTCTTACTGCATTCATGGATAGTTCATCTCTCAGCGCATACATTATGAGTGTATTCTCCCAAAAGTTTCTTCTCATATGCCACATCTTGCTCTTTAATCATGACTTGTACTTCACCGTTCATAATCAATGGCGCGGTGTATGCGATTTCGATGCCATTAGATGGTAACCTGCTTCCCTTTATGACATCCACCCATAGTTGTGGTTGTTCATGGTTTTCTTCTTCCTTTTGTTCACCCATCTCTATTTTCTCTTCAACTACTGGCTCTACATTAGTATCTCCGTTGTGAGGTCTTCCCTTATGTTAATAGTGTTGCTATTTTTCTCTTTAGAGTTTGCTCTTGGCGAGAAAACCCTTACTCTCACTAGTGGAGTCATCGCCACCTTTTTCCTCGGCTGGCCGCATCCCATCACAAACCTTATAAATTTAAATTTACCTTTAACTCATTATTTCTTCCACCGATTTGATCCATAATTCGAGGATTATGAATTACTGAGATGCCACCATGGAAACCATAAGGTTTTCGGCGGGAATCGCCCTTGCCGAAAATTGTCCTTTTAAAGATGATAAGATTATCAAATTATATTTAACCTCAATAAAAAGCAAATAATTTAAAAATGAAATATTATATACTTAATAAAAAAATATATATTAAAAAAATGATTTATTTATAAAATGAATCCCTAAAAATTCACACATAAATGTAAAAGTTATAACTCTCCTTTAACCTAACAACATCGGTTATTTTTTTTCTCTTCAATTTGAGGCAAGATTTACATAAAAGTATATGTTGAAGTTTTACAACAACTATTGAAGCATGTGTGTATATATAAGAAGAAGAAGAATAACTCCAGCTATCTTCCATTTTGTAATCTTCCATCTCATTTCCGCTCTAATGCTCCTCTCCCTTCTTCACTCTAACCTACTTCTCCATTTTCAATCACTCTTCTCTAAAACCTTCTAAATCCCTTTCTCACTTTCTCTCTCTATCATCAGATCAAAATCTCATTTTCTAAAATGGCTTCTGTTTCATACACACAGAGTTGATTCAAAATACTACAAAGTAAGCTTCATTGTTTCCTCACTTTCAATTATCTCTTCAATTTCATTGCTTTTTTTGTTTGTTTGTTTGTGTGTGCTGATTGATGGATTATCATAACCTATTTTGTTTCTTAAAATGAAAAGAATAACTGATTTTGATTTATCTGTTGTTATAGTGTTTATTTTTTTCCTTACTGTTTAGGTTTTGTTGATTTATGAAATCTTCTGACATTGGTTGAGTACTGGATCCAACATGCGCTTTGAAAAATCTTTGTAATTTCTGTGTTTAAATGGTTTTTCTTTGGCTACTTTGCTGTGAAATTGAGTGTTTTTGCATTTTGGGTTTGTGTAATCTGTTGGGTGGATATTTAAAAGGGTTTCATTTGTTTTGTTTAGGATTAGATGATCTGTGAAAAAGTTTTGTTTTTTTATGGTATGGTGAATGATTTGATTTTTTTTTTTTTTGTGACTGCTAATTGTTTGTAATTTTTACTGACTGAAAAAATGGAGATAGGTTGATCCTTTGATTGGTAGTTCGGAGTTTCAGTTGTTGTAAGATGCAAGTACAGTAGTATAAGTCTCTGTTGTTTCTGATTATTGGCAAAGGAATGGTTTTTCTAAAGGGTGTTTAGTTTAGGGTTTAGGTCTTTTTATGTTGTAGATTTGAAAGATTAAGCATGTGTGGCAATATTTTGAAGTTCTTGCTTTTGGTCCTAATCAGAATTTGATACTAAAATAGTAAACAACTGAAGGGAAATTATAGTTGCATACTTGATCTGTGTTAATAGTTGATGCATAATCTTAGTTTTTGTATCTGAAAGGTAGTGTGGAAAAGTGGTTGGCTGGTAGAATCTCACAAAATCAATGTGCGGTTTTAACTACCATTTGGTTTATTAAGTTTGACATTTTTCATTGTTGTTAAGTTGTTGCTCTGTGTTTGGACTTTCAAGTATAGCTGTTTTGTCTGTGCAGATTTCTACTTGGTACTTTCTTTCAACGAAGTTCTTTGACGATGGGTAGAGGTCGAGGAAAAGGGAAGAAACAATCTGCTATTGTTGAGGATCTTGTAAGCGACGAAGAGGATAAAGTACAAGCTCACAGGAAAAGAGGAAGACCGTTAAAACCGGTCATGGATGAAAATGAAAACGAAGACATTGTTGAAGTAACTGAGAAGATCGAAAAAGGTGAGGAGAATGTAAATGGCAATGTTTCCAACAATGATTTGAAAACCGAGGTTATCACCGTGAATAAAAGGAAAAGGAAGAGGTCTTCACAGGTTAAAGAAAAGATAGAACCAATGAAAGAGGAGAACGGCGTCCGAGCAAAGTCTAGCCCTACCGATTCAGTGAAGTCTACTGGATTCCGACAAAATGGAAGCAGGCGTAAAAGCAAGCCTCGCCGCGCCGCCGAAGCTGGCGTAGATTGCAAGTGAGCAAGGTATTTTGGTAATAGTTTCATGACCTTGGAACTTTGAACTTTGGTATCACAAGTCAGAGTTTGTTTGATTATATAAGGCTTCTTATGGCTGCTGCTGCTTATTATTATTGTAACCTTCATGTGCTTATTTTAGTTTTGAGGCTTCATAGTAGAGACTATGCTTCTATAGAGATACTATTGCCGAAAAAAACTATTGAAATTTTGTAGATATTCTTTATCATGATGAGTTTGATTTCCTCTTGCTTTCACAAATGTCTGATGGCAAATTTGTTTCCTTGATTTCCTCTTGCTTTCTCAGTCCTCAAATTACTTATCTGGCGTAAAATAGAAGTAATAAAAGCATGCTACCTTGGAAGCACATGTATAGAGACAACTTTCTAACTCCACTCATAATTGCAATAACTTTCCTACAAAGCAGAGGCCCCATACTCTGCATTCAAAATTTCCAACATCACTCCAGAACTTCCAACTTTGCAATGGGTCTTATTCCATTTTGGCCTTTACAATTTAGATGTGGCTCATTCATTTTGTTGCTCTTTCTGTTTCATGTTAGTGTTTGTCAATAATTCAAACTATTTCTTTAGGCCCCCCATATCCTTGCACTGGAAAATAATAGAACTGTAGTGTCTAACATTATTAAGCGGTTAGTAAATAGGGTATTTGCATTGTTTTTTAAGTTAAGATGATTGTAGTTAAAGAAATAGGATAAAATATGAATCCCTATGAGTTATAACCTCACACTCTACTTGAAGTAACATCTCAAAAACACTAAAATTGATGTAGCATTTGACAAAGAAAGCCCACATATTATATATGGGTAATGTTAACTTGTGCCCTTGGGGCACATGTTAAGAACTAAATTAAGAAACATTGTTTTGGAAATTGTGTATAAATTTTAATTAAAGTATAAAATTAAGTTTTAAATCATTTTTTCCAATGTAAATTTACTATAAGTAGTTTTTTTAACATGTGCCCCAAGGGCACAAGTTAACATTACCCATTATATATAAATTTAAATTTGGAGTAGACTCAATACAAGAGTGTGTGGGATTGAATTGATCATAACTTTGGAAAGTTGTAACATTAAAGTTTATAGGTATATGTTATCTCCACAGATAACACTTATACCCTACAATTACATATTTACCTTATTGATGTGTTTCTTTCCTCAATTAGACAGCTGTAAAGTGCTATTTATAGTGAATAAATGTGTAAAATTGTTCACCATAAATAGTTAGTTATGATTTTATTTTTTTTAAATAACATAGGATGTTTTACATATTATAAAATTGTGGGGTATAGGTGTCAAGTGTGAGGTATATCTATCAAACTATTATAATTATGGTGAATATGTCTTAAAATTTGAGTTTGTGTAATTTGTGTGTAATAATTTGATCGATATTTCTTAATGATCTTATGGATTACATACACATCTCATGAAAAATACAATAATATTTTTAAATTTTAGAGATACATCTTCAGACACAACTCAAATATATAATTCATTCGTTTTCAGACACGATGATTAAATTTATTTTGAAAATATATTTTTGAAATAAATTTAAAACTAAAACATAGCTTAAAATCAAATGAATATATGTATATAAGATACGTCCGAAAATACATTTTTAAATATTAAAGGACAATTTTTATAATTCATAATTCTTGCCACCTTGTAGGGTGGGATACAAAATTCTTTAATTTAATTCTTATAAGATCTTATAAGGGTTTTATTTGGTGTGCATGATAAGAAATAGAAAAGAATAACTATATATTAAATTTGTCTCATAAGATTCTATTTTGAAATTTTTATCCTAAAATATGATAATGTTAAGATAAAAAATTCTATATTTAAAAATTAAAACTTAAAAAATATAAGATTATCATATCCTTTAAATATGGATAACAAAATATGATTAAATTTAAAAATATATGTAATTTTTTATAAGGATAGTTTAATGCTTTGAATATCAACTATCTATCCATTAATAAAAGATACTACCAAATATCCTATATTAATAATATTTACGTTATATTAGAGACTTGTTAGTAATAATCTAATGCATGTATTATTCTCATTCTAAATCAACAAGAAGATGATGTGTGCAATTATTTTTTAAAATTTTAAATTTCACTCACATTTCTCTTTCTTATATTTTTTCACTTTCATTTTAATTTTTTTCTCTCTATTTTCTCTTTTTCTTTTAATAATTTCCAAGCATAAATAAATATATAAATTGAACCTTTTTGAATGGAATCAAGAGGAACACATAAAAATTTACTCAACCGAAAATATAATTATTTTATAATTATTAAAAAATTATTTATAATTATTAAAAAATTATTTTCAAATGTCAAAATTTTTATTTTTCTCACGGGCCACTATCAGCAAAATACATATTTTATTTTAATTAACAATTGTCTTTTTTTGAGTCACTGAATTCTTATTTTCAAATGTCAACATTTTTATTTTTCTTACGGGTCAATATCGTTAAAATGCCTATTTCATTTTAATCAATAATTGCCTTATTCGAGACACAAAATTCTTATTTTTAAATGTCAAAATTTTTCTATTTTTGTCTTTGACTACTGTCAGCAAAATTTATATTTTATTTTAATTAACAATTGTCTTTAATTGAGACACAAAACTGTTATTTCCAAATTTTAAAATTTTTATTTTTCTCACAGACCATTATCTGCATAATACTTATTTTATTTTAATTAACAATTATTTTTATTTAAGATATAAAAATTTTATTTTTAAATATCAAAATTTCTATTTTTTCACATGCCACTGTTAGCAAAATATTTATTTTATTTTAATTAACAATTGTCTTTATTTGTGACACAATTCTTATTTTAAAATATAAAAATTATATCATATGATATTATTATATTTATTTCAAACACACATGATATGATATGACTATGATGTAACTATCATAAACTATCCTTATCCACCTTCTTATCATTAACATCAACAAACTCTAAGAGTGTAATTAGATGAAGTAATTGAGAATTTTTAAGAAATTTAAAATTTTAAGCAATTTAAATAATTTAATTGAAATTCATTCATTTTAAAAAAAAAATTGTTTGGATTGAGTATTAAAATAATTTATTGTTAAATTTTTTAAGTCATTTTTATAAATTTTAAAATTTTTTAGTCAATTTAAAATATAAAAAAAGACTAATTTATATTTTTTGAAAATTTAAAGAGACTAATTTGTAAAATTGGAAAATTATTAGAAACTTATTTATAATTTTTTTGAAAATTTTAGGAGTGAATTTGAAATTTTCAGAAAATATGAGAACCATCTTATAAAATTAAAAAAATTAATAAAAATAATTTAACAATTGTATTATATAGAATGGAAGAATAATTTTAACATTTGAAAAATTGTTCACCATAAACAGTTATATTTTTCACCACAAAATTTTTCACCAAAATTTTTCTCAATTAGACCAGCTGTAAAGTGCTATTTATAGTGAATAAATGTGTAAAATTGTTCACCATAAATAGTTAGTTATGATTTTATTTTATTTTTAAAATAACATAGGATGTTTAGATATTATAAAATTGTGGGGGTATAGGTGTCAAGTGTGAGGAATATCTATCAAACTATTATAATTATAGTGAATATCGTTAAGTATTAACAAGTGTGATTAATGCGGATAATAGTTTTATAATGGATAATAACGTGGTGATTTGAACATTTATAAATGAGACAACCTATACACATTACACATATCTAATTAAAATTTTAAGTGAGTATAGTCTCACAATATTCAATACTCCCTAATTAAAAAATGTCCCTTAACAGTGGTATCATGAGCCTGTCAACGGCGGTACAAGGATGCAATAATTTGATGGATATTTCTTAATGATCTTATGGATTACTAACGCAACTCATGAAAATACAATAGTACATTTAAATTTTAGAGATATATCTACAAATGTAATTCAAATAAACAATTCATTCGTTTTTGAAACACGATGACTAAATTTATTTTAAAAATATATTTCTGAAATAAATTTAAAATTGGAGTATAGCTTTAAAACAAATGAATTATATTTATATGAGTTACGTTCGAAAATATATTTTTAAAGGTAGAAAGACATTTTAAGAATTCATAATTCTTTACTACCTTATAAGGTGGGTAAGAAATCTTTAATTTAATTCTTGTAACATCTTATAAGAGTTTTGTTTGATGTGCATGATATAATAAATAGAAAAGAATAACTATATATTAAATTTGTCTCATAAGATTCTATTTTGAATTTTTTATCCTAAAATATGATAATGTTATGATAAAAAATTATATATTTAAAATTTAAAAAATATAAGATTATCACATCCTTTAAATATGGATAACAAAATATGATTAAATTTAAATAGTTAGTTATGATTTTATTTTTTAAAAATAACATAGGATGTTTTACATATTATAAAATTGTGGGGTATAGGTGTCAAGTGTGAGGTATATCTATCAAACTATTATAATTATGGTGAATATGTCTTAAAATTTGAGTTTGTGTAATTTGTGTGTAATAATTTGATCCGTATTTCTTAATGATCTTATGGATTACATACACATCCCATAAAAATACAATAATATTTTTAAATTTTAGAGATACATCTTCGGATACAACTCAAATATATAATTCATTCGTTTTCAGATACGATGATTAAATTTATTTTAAAAATATATTTTTAAAATAAATTTAAAACTGAAACATAGCTTAAAATCAAATGAATATATGTATATAAGATACGTCCGAAAATACATTTTTAAATATTAAAGGACAATTTTTATAATTCATAATTCTTACCACCTTGTAGGGTGGGATACAAAATTCTTTAATTTTATTCTTATAAGATTTTATAAGGGTTTTATTTGGTGTGCATGATAAGAAATAGAAAAGAATAACTAAATATTAAATTTGTCTCATAAGATTCTATTTTGAAATTTTTATCCTAAAATATGATAATGTTA